TATATATAACTAAATTTTGGCTCCTTTTCAACCTTGATAAATCTTTGTATATTATCAGGAACACATAAAAAGTGCCCACTTATTTCTACAATAAACAGTGTTAAAAGGTTTTCAAAACACTTGCACAAATAATTTGATGAAAGTTTTACTAATTTGTGGGGGTGTGGTAATTTCATTATTCAAGAGTTTATCTTTTGTTTATAAAGTAAATATTTTTATTCTTTAAAAAGAAAGCTTCTGACTATATATATTTTATTTTAAATGTGAAGACACACAAAAGAAACTATCTTAATCTAAAAGTTCAATTGTATTGTTTATCTATCTGGCAGTAGACACTTGCCACCATGTTGTTAAATGCTCTGTTCTTCAAGGAATCCATTTTCTAATTTTACATCAGTAAATAAAAGGTAAGGAACAAAAATATAGAAAGATACAAAAAGATAAATAAAACACTGTTCTGTTTATACACTGAATAGTTAGAATCTCTGTAAAGAGCAGAGAACCTTTTAGAGTTCCAAACCATGTGTACACATGACACCCATATTAAAGAACAGCATCTTCAGTTGACCGAATTGCAAATTCACAGACGGCCATGAAATACACACAAAACAACTCAACACAAACCAAGAAAGAGAAACATACATTTTCTAAAAGCAGAAAATGACAGAATTTCCAAATAAGTAAAAGAAAGCAACGCACCAACAAAAAGAGGATTATTTGGCAGACATTTTGTTTTGTAAAGGGCAGACCTATAATGAACTTGTAAACAAATATCAAATAAATAAATCATTGTTTTTACTCTAACGATCAAATCTAAACAAGTGAACTCATTTTACAATAAAATTTCAACTTATTATACCTGAAAAATTTCAGTGTTACATAAAAACAATTAAGTCTGATAAATAGATACATAAGTCTATAAAGTAATGAAGAAAAAAAAAGGCATTCTTTTACACAAATATTTTTCAACATAATCTCCTTCTGTGTCAATGCACTTTTTCAGCGGTGAATATTAATCACACTGCAAACATTATACAGTGAAAATTTCAGATCAAAATTCAGCTAATAATACATGTTAAGTTACAGACTTAGGGATGCATCATTGAAAACTCTAACCAAATGATTTTGAAATAAAGTAAATCAATGTCAGTTAAAATTCTCAGTTTGTAGAGAATTTGAACCTGAGTGCTCTATATTTATAGCTTTGTGTCTTACTATGCTGAGTAAATGGGTATCTTGCCATAGAGCGATGTTTAAAAAACCCATGGTGCAGATAATGATTGAAGCAAGTTCAATTCCCACTGAGTGCTCTATACTTGTGGCCTTGTGCCAGATTAAACTTAGTAAATTTATTTTCTATTATAATACAGCAAAAGTGGCACACTGTAGCAGGTTTCTTGCTATAGCAATCCCATTAAAATGCTCTAACTTGAAAAATAAAGCAATTTCAAGTATAATTTGCAATCCATCCTGGGTATGATGATAAACTACATCACATCCTGGGTAAGATGATAAACTGTCCAACAGCAAGGCCTCTGATCAGGAGGTTTTGAGGAGCGTGGAACCACCTCTTAATTGCTGGTGTTCCCAGGAACACCCTGACCCGGGGTGGTAGCACCTGTTTGGGTCCCAGCTATGGGCAAATAGTTAACCTCTAAACTGGGGTCAAAACACTATGAAAGTGTAAAAATAGGTTTTAATACCTGAAATACTTTGTAAAAAAAATTATTACCAGCAATACATTTTTGAAAAAAAGATATTACCAGCTATATTTTTTTTTTTTAAATGTTACAAGCGATACATTTTTGAAGAAAAAATATTACCAGAAATAGATTTTTGAATGAAAAATTTTTTACCAGCAATACATTTGAAAAAAAAAAAAATATTACCAGCAATAAAAATCTTGTTGGCATTAAATAACCCATTGAGGTTGATATGCAGTAAAACAAAACAAACCAAATCTAATTTGCAACTTAATACTAATGTGAGTCTTGCATTTGTGTTCATTCCAATAATACTGATCTGATTTTTGCAAGCATTTTTGTTACAAAACTGAAAAGAAACTCATTTAAGCATTTAAATAAAAAATGAAAAGATTAATAGCAACATGAAATAATTGTAAAAAGAAATCATTTAACACTAGATTCCTGCTGATTAGTGATTAGAAGGAGTACAAGTAAAGCTATGTGTTAATTTTAAATGTCAGAGTTTGGTTAATTACATAGTAATTTTACTTATTTATTTACAAATAATTATAATCAAAATTTCTTTGGCAGCCTTTAAGTAAATGTCTATAATATCACCAATAATATAAAGCACTTCAATGGCAAGTATGCATTTTTTGAGAGCAATGAGTGATAACTGAATGAAGTACAATTTAAACAAGAGAATTAAGGCAATCTGTCAGATCAAATAAATGTGTTGTATAGTGTTGTTCTATAACACGTGATCAGTAGTCCACTTCCTCCTGTCTGACTCTTTACTCTACACTTTATTTCTCCTATAACAAACATATGCTAATAAGTAAAATCCTCTTTACCAACCCTACTACACCTTCCTGAACTGAAGAGGTTTAATGCCTTTGAATAAGATATTGTTAATGGAGATCTTATTTGTCTTACCATTAACTTAGATGGGCTTTGCAATGTGTCTGCATGTAGAAGCATTCTATAACTAAACAATAACCTTGATAAGTAGTCGTCTACAGTATCTCTACTTAGGGAAAATGTTTTCAATCCCATTAGATTGTGGGTGATATGGTGGTGTTTTGTAAGGGAAGCTTCAACCAATTACATCTTCATCATTAAACTCTTATGCATTGTCTGATACCAATGTTTTAGGGACCCCATTTCTAGAAAATATCACTCTTAATATTTGCTTTATTGCAGTTGTTTTTCTATCTTTAATTTTAATGACTTCAGGCCATCCAGAAAAGGAGTTGACTAAATTTAGAAATAGTCCCATACCATGGTTCATATGGACACGAGAACATGGTTCCATTTCTTTCGGCCATGAGTGTATTTTCCTTTGTTGAAAATTCTTTATTTCTGCACATTTTGGGCATTTATGTACATATCTTTCTATATTGCAATAATACCCTGGCTACCATGCCTCCAATTTTAATCTCCTTTGCATAGCCATTACCCTACAATGCACATCATCATATATACTTTTTTAAAATATATCTTCTTACTGTTTCTAGTGGTACTATCACGCCTCCATTGCATATAACATATTTTCCTGTTATTAATTTATGTGTTATTTCTTCATAAAGCCTTTCAGCTTTGGAACAATTACTCCACCTATTTCTTCTTATTCTCTCAGCAATCTTGCTTAATACTGGATCATGTAGAGTTTCCAATGCAAATCTTTGTAGAGATAATATTTCTTCATGCGGAATTTCCATTTTGATCCTTATTGAATTGTAACCTTGACACCGCATTGACATGTGGTATTGTATTTCCTTTTACATACTCAATGTCAAAATCATATGCCATTAATTGTATTGCCCATCTTAAAATTCTGGAAGATGTAACTTTTAGTAACTTCTTTCATTTGAACTCACTAGTCTTTTTCTACAGTTCAACAAATGGTTCAATTAGGTCACTGTACTTTGGTAAGTATCTATTGTAAAAATTAACCAATCCTAAAATGGATTCTAATTATTTTTATTCGTAGGTATAGATATCTCTGAAACTTTCTTAATTAACTTTGGATCTCGCTCAATACCATTTTTTAAAATTTGGGACCCTAAATATGACAAATATATCACAATCAAATTCACATTTGTCTCTGTTTATTGCCATCCCTGCATTTTTAACTTGTTTAACACATGTTCTTTTTTTGTTTTAATTCATCTTTAGTGGTGGCACTGAGGTAAATATCATCTTGATAAATAATCATGTTGCAAATTTCATCAGGTAATATGGTTTTCCATTGCTCTCTGAAAAATGGCACTTGTCATTTTCACACCAACAGGCATTCTTGTCTATCTTAATAATCCCATGAGGATGTTTATTGTGGTAATTTCCTTAAATTTATCATCAATCTGTATTTGATTACTTAGATTATTTACATTATTTGGACTGTCATCCTCATCTCCATTGCCATATTCACAATGTTTTGGCTGTTGTACACTCCAACCTTCTTCAGATGATTGGAATTTCAAACCAAACCCTTTATTTCATCCACCAGGGTAGATTGTTCTAGTTCCACGTGCCATGCCTCTTCTAGATGTCTCAGTTATTTCCCTTTAACTCAACTCTCCAAGTTTGGTTCACCACTGCTGTGGACTGGTATTGAACTCACAACTCTTTGGGTCTAGTCACTGGATCTAACCAATGTCTTTATCCACTGGGCTGTGGATAAAGACATTGATAACAACCATAGCTTCAATCAACTATAATTGAATCAATTAGTCCTCTATAGTCCAATCATGAGTTCCCAGTTTCTCAAACTCACAGAATCTGCTAGCTTTTCTTAATCTGTGAAGATATTGTATAATTGATTCATCTTGTTTTTGTTTAATGGACAGGAATTTGGTTTTTTCCACTATGACAAGTTCCTTTTTAGGTTGTGAACTTCTTTTTATCATTTCTGAAATTTCAATGAAAGTCAAATTCTCCAATTGTTTGGGTTATGCTATAACAGAAATTTTCATTATAGCTTCACAACCTACCAAAGCTAGAAAGAGGTTGGTTATTTCATTTTTCTCCCCTCTTGCCTTTCTGTCTTTCAATTTTTTAGACCTAGCCTGGACTGCAAAACACCAGATCCAAGTCTTGACAAATTCTGGTTCATCCAAGACGCTTAAACATCCTATCGATGATGCCATATTATTTTACAGTGTTGATCAACAACACTTGATCAGTAGTCAACTCTTTATACTTTATTTCTCTTATAACTAACATATGCAAATAGGTAAAATCCTATTTGTCAATCCCACCACCAAAATGAAAATATCTAATAATGTAATAAAAAGATTTCATGTAAGTAAATACCTTTGCCATTGTTGCATGATCCATACAGTCATCAATAGTCAGTGTAAAGACATCTTTCATAGGAAGCATAGCATCTTTCACGGTTTTTGAATTCATATCTATGGCTCCCTGTCAACAGAAAAAAGACAGAAAAATTCATATAATAAGTTTATTCTACAGGGTGCTCCACAAAAAAAAAAAAAAAAAAAAGAAAAAAAAAAAACAGAAAATTTGCTACAGTTTATTTAATTGTTGGAATTTTTGTTACAGATATTTGAAACAAAAGCAAAGGATAGAAATTTAGTCGCTTAAAACAGAACAAAAAAACACAAACTCAACTTCACATACAAGACCCAGGAGTTTTGTTTTTGTTTTCCTTTGGTAATTTTAGTAGAAGAAAAGTGTGTAGGGGTCTTATATATCTTTAAACACAATATTTTTCAATATATATCCTTTCAAATTTGTATATCAATTATAGAACATTTAACTATATTTGATGTAATATATCAAATTTAAAAAAGGCATGTGGTCTTCAAACTAAAGAACTATGGTAAATTTTTTTTCAGTCCCCAAGTTGGATGTTTTTTCTGAAAGAGAACAATCACCTGATGTTGAAAATGTGATTAATTACAGCATCCTGGAACAATAAATGGTTAAAAAATTCATATGTTAGTTAATTTTTTAGTTCATTCATATAGTAAAATATATAGTTAATTTTTTTATGTTAGTTAATTTTTTTCATTATATAGTAAGCCTAAAATTTCCTGTTTTTTTTTTGTGGGGTTACCTGTATGTGTAATGATTAATCCTTCAACAATGATAATCCCTTTTATACTCGCTTAATCTGATCTGCATTGTAGTTAAAAAAAAAAAATGATTGTGGTTAGGAATTTTTTAAAAATTGCAAAATTCAGTGCTTATACCCCAGCCCAAATGACAACACTTAATATTACTGTATTATTGAGGTAGGCTAGGTACAAGTCATATGGGTCTGGGTAAACATTAGCCTAGCATATTTCTCAACTTCACATACAAGACCCAGGAGTTTTGTTTTTGTTTTCCTTTGGTAATTTTAGTAGAAGAAAAGTGTGTAGGGGTCTTATATATCTTTAAACACAATATTTTTCAATATATATCCTTTCAAATTTGTATATCAATTATAGAATATTTAACTATATTTGATGTAATATATCACATTTAAAAAAGGCATATTCCTTTCTTCAAATTCATTATTTCTACCTTAGTTTATTTTGTAACAGGGCACTGACCCTGTTTAAATGTTTAATTGCATTAAATTACTGGATGGTGATTTGGAAGGCGTATGAAGTGAATAATAATTAGTAAGTTTCTCAGGAGAGTCGGTTGAATGGTTGAGAAGAAAATTAAAATGAAAATGCATTAAAATTTAATTTTTAAAATAATAAATTGAATTTAAGAACAGTTCCATGGAAACTTTAACCTAGAATTAACTAGACAAGATTTAGTAAGATTGAGCAAAACCAATGTCCCCAAGCTTATCTGCTTCTTGCTGATAAGAAGAACAGATGATTAATATGTTATCCAAATTTCTTAGGTCCTGAGAAATTAAAACTTGGAAGTTTGTTTACATTATGCTATCTGCCCAAAATGTGTGTTTTTTTATAAATCATTCTAGACAAAGAACAAAACATGTTTTGTGTTAATCCCAAACATTGGAATTTGTTTATGTCGATTGCCTAAGAACACAATTATCTTTACAGAACAATAGCTAAGAATATTCTAATCAAACAAAAGAAAGTACCATATAGTTTTTTTTTAACAGTTGAATGAAGAAATTAGATATATCAATATCAAAATTTGAGCGGGGAGTCATCTATATAAATGGCAGTCCCCCGGGCAAACAGACAATTGAAGATTGGACCCAATAGGGAAGATTCGATTCAGTTGCGTTTCCTATAGTTGGAGCAAAAATAGATACATTTGGGAAAACTGGCCCAAAAGTTGACTCATAGCTGCCCAGGATTACTCATAAGACAGTTGTCACTAAAGAGCACACCCACAATTCCTTGGCCAGACTGAAAACACAGACACATGCATGACGGAAGAATTGAGTGAGTGTTGATTGATTATTATTTTGAAGAATTGTGGAAGTGTCAACTGTCTGGTTTTTACTTTAGTGTTTGTGACTAGATTTTTCAAATCAGCATTCTGCAGTAGAGGACTTGATTTTTCAGTAGATAATAGAGACATTTTATTCAACCAGTTTTTCTTTATATTCAATAAACCCGTTGTTAGAGTTATCAACAGTGATGTGCAATTTATTAAAGGAGTTCTTATTCCAGCTAGAGTTCAGAATTATCCTGTGACGTAAAGATACAAAAGTTTACCATGGCCACAGGCAGAATTTATGCAATCTTGTCTGTGATACACAACAACATTCATAGATATGTTCACACTAGGCTTCAACCCTATAGAGACAAAACACCAGCACAAACCAAGGAGGGAAAAGAAAGGAAAGCAGATGACCCACAAGGTTGGTATTACACAACAAAGCTAGTAATAAGGAAGTTAGGAAGAAGAGAAGAGACAGAGTTCAGAAACAGGGCAGTGTGGTGTGTGAGAGAGAAACATAATGTGGGTTACAATTTCACAAATTCTGAAAAGTCCATAAGCTGATCCAAAGTAAAATGATCCAAAAATCACAAAGTATCTAAAAATAAAAATTCATTACTCATCAAGGCCATGGAAATACTTTTGAGCCATCTTTTGGTGGGGAAAAAAAGAAGAAGAAAAAAAAAAGAAGAGATGAGGCAATTTTAGATGTCATTTAATTTTTTTTTGTCTACCACCAGAAAAATTTAGTTTGTTAATGCATAAAATGATTAAAGCAGAGCAGTACAATGATGGTAAAGTGGTCAGTGGTAAGAAAGCACTCCCTACATCAATCCATTTACAAAGTTCAAATGCAATTGGTGTCAAAATCCAACAGTCATAACTATTTTTTTTTGTTTTCTCCCCACCACCAGAAATGTGTGTCACTATGTAATCATTAAAGATCTGATATATTTGTTTTCTCCTAAAATATCACAGGTTATATATTTAGTTAGTTTATCAGTATTAATGAATGTGTGGCTAGTGTAATGGATATCAGTAAAGAGAGTAGAAATGACGTGCAGTTCTGGCCTAGTCTTTTATGTTCACTTTTGTACAAATACCCTTGAGAAATGTGCAAAAGATACTTTTTTTATCACTGCAGCAATGTTTTGAAATAAGGATCTCCTATAAAAACAGCTAATAAAACAAATGTTGTGTATTTTTTTCATAAATTGTAGATCATTATTCCAGTAGAGATAAGGAGAACTGAAATGTTTTCTTCCACAGTTCTAGGTCTCAATAATGCCACTACCTCCAAAAGTTATCCACAACTCTGCAAAAGGCATCTCCAGGTGAATTCTTGAACAGAAACTATAAAGTACTTATGCAATTTTGATATCTCACCAATGTGATCCAACACTTTAACGGATAATGCAAAATTCTTCAATTTATTGTAGGGTATTACATTGGGATGTACTGGTAGTGTTAATGGTTATTGGTATGCAAAGTGGAATTGCCAAACCAAGTTCCAATTCTGGACTAGCCTCTTGCATTCACTTTCACAAAGGTGTGAATACATCTCTTTTTCTATTTACCATGTCCCTTCAGGACGTTGGTGATCATGGCTCTCCACAATTTCATGTTCTTTGTAGATCTTAGTAAATTTTATCTTTTTGTTATCTCTTCTAATCCCTTTTCTGCCATCCATTTACACAAGCTCATTAAGTAGGTTATGCACCATTTTTCTAAGTCTCTCTTGCTTTCAATATGTCCTGTGAGTATCAAATTTTCCAAGCCCTCTTTCCTCATTATGTGCACTAAAAATTTCAACTTTCTCGTTCTGATGTTAAGTATAAGTGTTCTCTTTGTGTCTATATTCTGTAAACCTTCATTGTTGTTCACATGTTTGGTCCATGGTATCCTCAGCATCCTTCTGCAGAACCACATTTCTGTTATCTCAAGTTTCTTTTCATTTTTGAGGAGATTGTCCAGCATTGACTGCCATAGAAGAGGGCTAATATTACATAACAGTTCAGTACTATTTTCATTGTTTCTAATGAAATTTTCCTGTATCTTAATAATTTGCTTAGTTTTTGGAAGGCATCTTTCACTATCCCAATGCACAATCAGACTTCAGTGTTGCACTTTCCATCCTCTGCTTCCCAGATATTTAAATTGTTGTACTTGCTTGATTTTAGTATTTCCAATTTGTAATTTGCATTTTGGGCTGTTCCTTTTGCTAAGAACTGTGCATTCCATTTTCTTGTAATTGCTGTTTATTATCCAGCTATGGGTTAAATATCATGGTAGAAAGTATTCTCTACCCATGAATAGCAAAGAGTTTAAGAGGAAGAACATACTGAAATCCAGAACCATGGAGAAGACACCAAGAAATAACTTCTCTTTCCCAAGAAGGTGTTGTAATTCACAGATAATAAAGAAAGGGAAGCTGTGGAGAGTTATGATTGCCTTCATCCTAAAGGATCATGAAATTTTTTAAAAAATATAAAAAAAATGTTACATTATCTAAATTCTTGAATTATACTTGAACAAATTAAGTGTTGCATAAACAAAAAAAAGAAACCAGTTCCAAGACACTAACAAAATCATGTTGAAATATGATTTACTAAAGACATGACCAGTTCAAATTTCAATGTCTAATTGTATTTCATGTTAATGGCTAAGATGGAAATTTTGCACCTGTACCATTGATTGTTGTTCAAGCACAGGTAAAAATCGGGATTTAGAATGTAGGCAGTTATTTATTTTTTTTTTTTGCTTATAAGTAACAATGGATAAAGCGACCACAATCTCCTATATTACCTGAACAGGTAATTTTGAATAAAGTAAAATGCCCTTTGTCTATCTACAATTATGACATGTTAGTGACAAGAACTGTTTGGTACAGAAATGAGTATAAATCTTTTACAGATGGCAAGGAGACATAAAATGATGTAAAAATTTGACGTATTAATTGTATTTTCTAAATCCTCAAAACCATTTCCACAGTGCTTAAGAATAAAGAACTTAAACTGAATTTATTTGCTATCCATGTTGTATAATTAACAGTTATAGAATATACAATATTATGATAAAATGCAACAAGATGAAAAATAAACTAGCCAAAACAATAGAAATGCTTCAAAGAAATTCAAACAACTTCAGACTATTAAACTAAAAAAAAAGCTTTAAAATGTTATCAAGACTTGAAAATATATATTAATTAAATTCATTCATTTATCATATGAAATAAGTTTTGCATATCAAACAATGAATTATCTCCCTTATATTTCTTTACTGAAACTCATATTATGAGCATGAACAAAATTTGGAAAACCAATGTAAGTATGTACCAATTTAAAACCAATGTAAAAATATCAGTGATTTTTTTATAGAGACTAAGTAATAATATAGATTAAATAAATTACATTACATTTAGATCATCTCACTTTATTTTTGATCCAAGATTTTTCATATTTAAAGGCGGTATTTATGAGTTTCAAATAGACCAGGACAATTATTATTTTTTGCAGGGAGAAAAATCCACCCAAGACATCATTCCAACCACCCCTTTTATTAAATATTCAGGAAATTTTCTCCTATTCTTTAGTTTGGACTGCGAGCATTCTATGACAAAGTGTTTAATTACAAAAATTATAAAAAACTTCTAACAAAAATTTTCAGTTGTCTCTTTTATTCCAACCACTCCCTTGCATTTTTTTTAATAATTTTCAATTTACAAATTTTAATTATTTCTATCACAAATGTCAAATTATATTTCAGTTTTTTATTTGTGGGGAAAATGAGCTCAGATTATGAGGTTAAATAATGAAATCTAGGTGGGGGGAGTAATTCAGTTGCCAATACCTTAAGAATAACAAATATTGCAACATTTTACCTTAATGATTAGAGCCTCGTCATAAGTTAAGGCCTCCTGTTTATTAGCCTGTTCTTTAGAGTTGTGAGCTTCTGGGCATTCGCTGTGAAGGTCAACCAACACCTTCAACTGTTTTCGTCGATAAAGAGTGTAGTGTTCTGTGCCAAACATGCAATCAAGTAATTTCGAAAGTGGCCAAGCGATGATGAAGAGGAGAGCCATGAGGAAATAAACCAAACTGGATTAAAGAAAATATAAAAGAAAAAGAAAGCAATCACAAGGAAGAAAATATAATAAATATGATATTCATTTTTATACCTGTCCTTAGCATTCATATTCAGGCAAAAATCAAACTTTTTTTTTTGCTCATGACTTCAAAAAAGGCAAAGAATCAATAGACAACTAAGTATTTTGGATGATTTTGAAATTATAGAATAGACACTGAATTAAAAGGAATAAACAGTGTAAAAATTTTGTACAACTAGCACTGTGAAACAATCTCAGTGCAACAGGTATGACAAAATAACATCATATAAAATAATCAAAGGATTTTTAGGTCAATACATTCACCACATTTTAAAATTATTTTAAAATATAGAACTAATAAGGAACTAATATATATATATATATATTATATCCATAACAAACCATGACATATATATATATATATATATATATATATATATATATATATATATATATGTGTGTGTGTGTATGTATATGTATGTATGTATGTATGTCATGGTTTGTTATGGATATAATTCTTTTCACTATTTACATTATTCGGACTATTGTCATCATCTTTGTCATCATGTTGTCCGCTTCGGCCTTCTTCAGGTGGTTGGAATGTCGAACTGAACCCTTTATTTTGCTCACTGGAGTAGATTGTTCTAGTTCCAACCACCTGAAGAAGGCCAAAGCGTACAACAGCCGAAACGTGATAAACATGGTGACAAAGATGAGAACAATAGTTTGAATAATGTAAATAGTGTACATAATACTTCATCTCAGAAATATGGACAGATAATAACTCTTTTTAATTATTGTTACTTTAAATCAATTTAACCTTTCAAGAATACAAAAAGCTCAAAGGTTCATTCCAGTGACAATAACCAAATCAAATGTAACCAAATTTCAAGCGATTTTTTAGACTGCAAATTATAAAAAGCAAGCTGAGTATTTTTACACTTTATTTTAAAATCCAAGTTAGAATTAGTTACACAATGAAACAAAAAAAATAAAAGCATCACATTGTATGTTATCACTGTTACAATAGATTTACTGTATTTATAAGTGATGCTCTGAAAATAATGCTTTGTATGTATTTCCACTGAAACAACAATAGATACAAGGAGCACAATAACACCAATGGATAGAGCAAGTTTTTCATTACAAAACACTATCTTGTGATATAGTTACCACCACTTGTTATGAATTTTCAACATGCTCTCCATTTCCTGGTTTGACAACAATGCAGAATTGCTCAGAACATGGACCCACATACATTTGCCATTGTTGAAAGATAAGTAACTATGTTCACATCACCTATTTGATTGCAATGAACATTCAAAAAGTGTTGATGTCAATGGGTGCATTTTTTCTGCAATCACACACCACTGCTTCACTGATGTCAGATATCATTTTGCCAGACTGCTACTCAATTGCTATCTGTAACAAGAAAAACACATTAGAGTATTGGCAGAAAGGTTCAATCTACTGCATATGCCTTTGATGACGTGAGCCAATATAATATAATAGGTGACATTGCTTTTAGAATAACAATTATATTATTTAAATATTTATATAAAATAATTAAAGTGAATGTGTGGATAGTATAGTGGCTAATGGTGCAAAAAATGAGTGACAAGACAAATTCAAATTCCAGCCAAGGTTGTTGCTTTCACTTTCACACAAATACTCCTTGGAAAGGCTTTAATACATTTCTTCTGCCAGCTGTGAGCTAAATAGTAGGGTAGATTAGGCTCTCTAGCATTGGTTGATACCCAGTCTAAGAAAAAGACAACATTGAATTCAAAACCTGTGATGGTGCTGGAACTGGTGCAACAGACTACCTGCCCAGCCAGTGGTGTGACAATATTTAATGGCTAAATCAACAAAAATGCTGTGCCAAATCCACACCTGACAGTCTGGTTGGTTATATGATAATGTGAATTAAAGTATTATCATAATTAAATGATAGTAATTAAATGAACTAGTATCATTTATTTTTTGTATCTTTTTCCTTTGCGGCAAATGCGCATCAGTATAGATGCAAAAGAGGCTCAAAGTTGCAAGCAGACATGTCTGTCAAAACTAGTTACATCCAGGTTTTCCCCTTTAGCAGCAAATCATCTTGGCATGTCTTGATACAGGCCTCTCTACAACTTGTCCAGATCCAGGTATTTGTCAGATGTCTCATGCCAATAAAAATGATTGGAAAACAGAGCAGTCAACAGTGGATGAGACTCTGTGTCTTGTGAAGTCATATCCTTAAGCATTTTGTTCCTAAAGTTGCATGTCGTCCAATGTGCTGTAGTTTTCCGAGGCAGTGTTATTTTGTTTCCCCTTGTCTCTTTCCTTTCTCTGCGTGTTACCCCATAATTCGTGGGAGAGTAATCGGTTAGATGTTTCTCCCAACGTCAATATATCCTTGCCATATTTTACAGCATCCTTATTTGTATTATACATTTGTTTTTGATAACTTATTAATTCATCTCAGTTCAATTTTACAGAAATACTAGAAAAGAAAACTTACGGGCTCATTATGGCTCCAATAGCCAAACCAAAACGAGTGCAAAATGCTTGAGGTATGACCCTAGAAAAAAAAAAAAGAAAATTATCATCAGTGAAAATAGCCATTGTTCAAGTAAAAGCCCTAAAAGCTGGACAGCAAATCAATAATAGTGCAATATTATAGAAGAGATCAAAAGTATATGAGCTTGAATCTCACAAAAACTTTTTACTTATAATGGATGTAGTTTGCTCATAAAATGTCTGAGTAGCTTCAATTAAAAGCAAAATGAAATTAAGGTGAAATAAATATGAATAAAAAAAAAAAAAGTTTCATGTAATAATAACTCCAGATAATATTCATGCTTCTGTAAACATACAACACGACCCTCATGTAAGCTTTCCATCAATGAGTCAATGACCACTGCATGTGTTCTGATCCTTGATCTTGTCAGTTTGTTTTGTTTTACGACATATAAACCTCAGTAGGTTATTTAATGCCGATAACATTTTTTCGTGGTAATATTTCATTTTGTCAAAAATCTATTTTCTTCCTCAAAAATGTATAGCTGGTATTATTATTTAAGAAAATGTATCGCTGGTAATTTTTTTTTTTTTTCAAAAATGTATTACTGGTAATATTTTTTTAAAAAAAATATATTACTGGTTATAGTTTTTTTTTCTTCAAAAATTTATTTCTGGTAATAATTTTTTTACAAAAGATTTCTGGTTATTTTTACACTTTCATAATGCTTTTTACCTCAGTTTTGAGGTTAACTATTTACCCATACCTGGGAACCTAACAGGTGCTACCACCCCGGGTCAGGGTGGACTTGGGAACACCAGTAATTAAGAGGTGGTTCTACGCTCCTCAAAACCTCTTGATTGCTGTTGGACATAGTTTGTCGTCTTACCCTGGACGTGGATGTAGTTTAGTCATACCCAGGACAGTTGATCTCATCAGTGCACACTGAAAGCTGAGGAAGAGCACACACTGCATGCTTACAAGGTAACACAATGAAAATAAACCCACATTGAGAAATAAGAATGTGAACTTTGTTTCCCATATTATACCGAGGTGTTTTATTCAGATACAAGGGACAACTTCTGCTGTTTCAATTCTTCCCCTTACCAACTCCTTGTGTATCTATTCATCTTGACATGATGTTGTGAGGCCTTGGAACTGTGACAAGGGTGGACCAGAACTCTCACCAATCCCAAGTCAGTCAGTTATGTGCCATGCGTGATACACACTTAGGTGATCATGTATCTTTCTTTCGATACATGACTGGCAAGGTAGATTTTTTCATGCAGTAGGTTGTCATTCCTTTCTGCAGTAGACCAGTTGCCATCCAAGGCTATAGAACCTGGTCTGTCCTGCTATTTACCCATAGCTGGGGGAAGAAGAAGAGGATTCATACCTTTCCCAAGGCTATTAGCACATAAGTGAATATAATGGATTCGATTTGAATTCAAAATTGTCTCTCTGATTCCTCAATCCAAGCCACTATCCATTACTCCACCCATTTCAAGCATTGACTGTTAATATAGACCAGCACTTGGATATAACCTATTTCCGGTTTTGTTGCCACTTGATCCCTGAAAATGTCACATTCAGCTCTTCACTTTCCATTAACCTTTAGTTAAAGTGGATACTGCTTAAAAAACGAACTTCAAAAGTAACCATCCACTGGTTGATCAAACAGAAACACTTGAGATTGAGATAAAGCCATCTTTTCTTTTTCTATGTGACTGTCCATAGTATCAAACATCAACCCATTTCAATTCTTAAACAATAAACCCATCTTTCATTTTTCAATGATTTTATTAGATGAAAGGAAACAAAATTCTCTACAAAAGAAAAGCTATAAGTTTATGATTATTTCAAAGCAGCTAAATTACAAATTTTGGACACAGTATTTAAAAAGCTGTTTTTTCATCAAATTTTCAATTTTGTTTTTAATACATTAAAAAGCTATAGACAAAAGAAGAAAAAAGCATTTTGGAGTATTTTTGTTTCTGAGAAATAAAACATTCATCCTAACTGAATGCCAGCAAAATAAGCTCCAGTTTTAGATAATAGATGAATTGAACATGATATACAATTGTTTCTTTGTTTTCAACATAAAATATGAAATGTGCGCTTTTACTTCAGATAATAAAAGGCCGCTTGGATAATGTCAGCATAAACCTTCTAGGATTTCTAGACAAACTGTAGCATCTGAATGGGATGATTGATCATTTTAGGGTTGTTGCCTTGTATAATGAAATTAAAATATGAGAACAAGCAAATTGGTATGTCAAGAACTGGCACATATCATTGGCATAGGTTAATCTCTTTAAAAATAGATATTTTATGAAATGTCAATGGGTCAACTTGGGAACAGTTTCAGACAATATAGATATAAATAATAGCATAACATAACATCTGTATAGAATATATATAATAGCAAGCATTATAACAAAGTTTTATTTTGTCTTGGTTATATACACCCAAAGTACTTCACGGATTACTGTGATATTTGGGATGAAAAGAGTAAGGTTCTGTGGCCACAGATCTTTCTATTATTTCTCCTCCATACTAGTTGACTAATCTATTATTTCTCCTCCATACTAGTTGACTAATCTATTATTTCTCCTCCATACTAGTTGACTAATCTTCTATTATTTCTCCTCCATACTAGTTGACTAATCTTCTATTATTTCTCCTCCATACTAGTTGACTAATCTTCTATTATTTCTCCTCCATACTAGTTGACTAATCTTCTATTATTTCTCCTCCACACTAGTTAACTATAGAGATCAGCAACCACTTCAAAGGAAGATGACTGACCTGAGTAGATTAAAATTGGCCCAAGATTCTGGTAATAACTATTTGTATTATTATACAAATTTTAACTTATACAAATTTCCTGTAACCTGTTATGGGATATCAGCAGAGATTTCTCAGAGATAATGAATTAGTCTTGCTCTTCCCATCCTTTCTTCCTCTTTTATTTTAGATTGTTCAACATTCATTGTCATGACTGGAAGACTGATTTTACATAACAGTTCAGTATTTCTTTGTTTCTAATGAAATTTTCCTGTTTCTTAATACTTTATTTAGGTTTTGGAAAATATCTTTTGGTATTCAAATGTGCCTCTGGATTCCAGTGTTGCCCTTTCCATCCTCTTTTAAAAAGCTCCCCAGGTATTTAAATTTTTGTACTTGCTTGATTTTAGTATCGCCAATTTGTAATTTGCATGTTGGGCTCTTCCTGTTGCTGACAACCATTCATTGTCTTCATGCAATTGATGCTTAGTCCTTTCTTCTCATTTTCCTTCACTACCTTCTGTAGGAGTTCCTATAGTTTACTTTCTATGTCTGTTATCAACACTGTGTATTCTTATGTTGTTAAAATTGTGGCTGAATGAATGAATCCTGCTAGGATTTCTTAGGTGATTCTAAGAGAATTAGAAGGAAGGTCTAAAAAATGCTAATCTACAAAAATTAGTTCATCAAAGAATTTTCCCTATTTTTGATTAGTGGACCAATGTATTTAAGTAGCAACCTAAAATATTTTGTCCTCATAAGATTTTTCACTCCATGATAAATATATTTTTTTAGTGTAAGGAGCACAGCATCTACTCAGATCATAACTTTTGATGTATTGTTTACATATTGCTCAGTTCCATTGCTAATTGCCACAGACATCAGGGTATGCTTCTACTTCTATTCTTCATGCAATAAAGAAGTATGAACCCAGAGAAATTATTAGCTTCCAGCCTTTTGGAGTTGGAAACTGGCAGATTATATATATATATATATATATATATATATATATATATATATATATATATATATATATTGTAGATTTTAGATGAAAAAACATTTTATACTAACTTAAATGATGTGTCTTCCTTCTCTTATGTGAGTTTTATAATACTGAGATTGAAACTGAAACATGTATATATAAAAAAAAATACTTACTCTCCAAAAATGAGGACAGCACTTACAGATACACAAATAGCCACAATTGGGTCAGATATTCGGTCAAGAAAAATTGGCATTGCCTCTACAGCCATGGCATTACCAAGCAATAGAGTGACCAGTAGGAGATGGTGCCGTTTAACTAAGGGCATTATAGTTTTAGCATACTTTTGTTGTTTGGGAGTGCCTGCTTCCTTTAAAGTTTCCAAATTCAGAATATCCATGGACATCAAAGCCATTGTCAAACCAGACATAAATCCTGAAATGCAAAGAGAAAATGGTTTTAGATTTTTGGCACCTTGAAGGCATGTTGCATAATTGCCAGAATGAGCAACAAATTGGGTTACATTTCAGTAGAATTGCCTTTCATCCCATTAGTAGTCCAAATTAGACCAGCTTATTTTAAAGGTATAATGTTATGTTAGTAATGTCTGATAAGAATGAAAAAAACTTTTTTATATATAAAGTAACTGTTTATTTCTAGTCTGTCAAATTAATGTCAGCCATTAAAGGAGTATCTGGTTTTAGGTCTTCTTTTCAAACATTTGATCTTTTTGTGAGATTTCAAGGGATTTTGCCTTCCCCATCATTTATATAACTTCCTATCACAGTGTATGTATATCCAAAGTTCACCTGGGTTCACTTCCTGTTTAAATTAGTGTACTCACTGACATCCTTTGAGGCCAGATTCTGTACCTTATAGGTCAATCCTTAAGGCATCTAGGTCTTTTAATGTTCTGAGATGATACCGAATACAAAATTTACACTGACGAATCTCAAGGTGAATCCATTACATATTGGGGTCACCACAGATCAACTCTTCTTAGATCAAAGGTTCCTGATGGACATTAAATTCATTTCAGGATAAGAGGATTCAGTTAATTGAAGTAACAAGTTTTTGTAAAAAAAATCTTTTTTCTTATATAGTTTGCATTGCTTGGTTAAATGATAATTGTTAGTTTGCTTTTTATTGTCTGCCTAGGAACATCCTCAGATCATTAGTATACATTTATACAGATGATACCACAGCTTATGGACACATTTTCAAAAATCAAGAAGATTGGAGCGTTGAAGCTGACTCCCTCCCCTGACCTGGCTCTAACAGCTCAATGAGGAAAAACTCAAGCCAGTATCATTTCATCATCAGTGATCAAACCAAAAGCTTTTTCCAGTCACAATTGCCCTCTCAATGGATTCAGTGTAGGTGCTTCCCCGAACACTAGAATCTTAACCTCTTCAAGAGTCAATCGTTATCTATCCTACTTATCCTCATGACCTTACCACCTCCTCTTTCATTCATATCATATGTCTCATTCATTTTAATAGTAAACATCTACCATGAGTGGATCTTTAGGTTTGTATTAATCGAACTTTATATATATATATATAATAGGGATGTCAAAGATAGTATAAAGCCAAAAATGCTGATAGTGGAGTATTGAGAGAAAAGACATTTAAGGCAAGCAGTCTTTGCAATAAAGTGCTCAATATCAAAGATAGAGCATTAATAGAATTAATATATGTAAAAGTTCGTCACTTAGCTGATTCATGTTATCTTCAGCATCCTGACTCAAGAGTTACGTAGATTGACATGTCCATCCACTCTTCAAGAGTGCCAGCAATAAATCAGCTGAAGTGACAAAATTTTACAGCAAGTTTCACCCTTCACAGAGCCCGGGGGTCACACAAGGTAGAGGGTTATGTTTGAAGGCCTTTTTGTGTGTATAAGAGTGGAAGATTACGGTTAACCCTAGCCTTGAACAGGTTAAGATTGTAGTGATTAGTGAAACATCTTGTTGGGAGTTGGTTCCACAGGACAATGGTGCACAGGAAGAAGCTGCTTGAGTGGAAATTACTTTTCACCAATGAAATACAAAGGGAATGTAGGTGGCATGCTATTATGTAAGTGGCATGTCATGTTCTAGATGTGAAGGTTTGGTCCAGCAGGACCAGAGAATGCAGTTCATCCGAGCACCTTCCATGGAAGTCGTGGTGAGCAGTGATAGGCTTGCCATATCCCACCTGTGAGAGAGAGAGAGAGAGAGAGAGAGAGATGGAGAGAGAGAGAGAGATGGGGAGAGAGAGAGAGATGGGGAGAGAGAGAGATGGAGAATATTTCAACACCCATAAAGGCTTGGAGATACTTTTGAACTATCAAGGCTGGAAAACAAATACTGGGCAGCTCCTGACCAAATATGACAACAGTATTCCATTTTTGGCCTGACCTAGCTTTTGTAAAGGTAAAGGATAGAAGGGGGAGTCAGACACTTACTGGAGCAGTCAACTATTTTACCTGCATCTTTAATAATGGATTGTATGTACGAGTTTCACTGCAGGTTAGGTGTGACTTTGAGGCCCAACAGTCTTTCAATGCACAGTGCTTCCTCAAGATGGCATAGATGTTTACAAATGATCTGAGTATATTCTTAGGCAGATCATTTATGTAGATCAAAAAGAGGGTTGGTCCAAGAAGTGACCACTGGGGGATACCCATGCTCAGTGAGACGTGGGAACCTGTGAAGGGGATGGTCTTAGTCATCTAATGTTGAGTCAAAGGCAAAGAGGTTTGCCTTATCTGTCGAGGAAGATATGACCTCAGGGGCCATTTATAATTGTGGGAACAGCTGTTTTACCTCTGTTCTTCCAGAATTCACAGGATCTAATTTTGTTTCTTTTTTCAACCTTGGTGTGGACTGCTTGTACATGGCTGCACTGAATATATATATATATATATATATATATATATATATATATATATATATGATAAAAATATAGTTTTAAGATATGTTATATTTATGGGTTAAAGTGCTCATTATCAGGGACAGAGTGCGCATAAATATAAAAGTGTACATTGAGGTCAACACTCAGTGGCGACAATTTCAATGTCCACTTTTATGTATGTGTGTGTATATCTATCTATATATCTAGATATATACCTCTCTCTCTCTCTATATATATATATATATATATGAGGATTCTTCCAGACTCAGTGAATTACGATGATGATTACTAATCCCCCAAAATTCTATCACTTGTATATCCTTGCTTGATCCAGCTAATGCTCTGCAACAGAGTGGCTAAGGGGAAGAAAGACATTGCTCTTGGGGCAAAACTTATTGGGTTATGAATACTTGGATGAGTATCACCACAGAATTTCTGAGTAGTGACGCTATATCGAGTCTAGTCAGTTTCTTCTTCATCACTGAGGTCTGTTGGTCCAGTGGTTTGACACTTGTATTGTATCATAATTGTCCAGGTTCAATTCTCGGTAGTGGATGCACACTGCTGATGATTCCCAAATAGGACAAAACAGCCGTCCAATGCTTTCCGGATTCTGTTGAGGATTCTTCTAGACTTGATGAATTACTATAATGATTATTCTAATCCCCACCAAATTCTATCACTTTATATATATATATATATATATATATACATACATACACACATATATGTGTGTGTGTGAAAAAATGTAGTTTTAAGGTATGCTATATTTATGGGATAAAGTGGTTAATATCAGAGATAGAGTGTAAATATAAAAGTGAACATTGAAGTCAACATTCAAACAGTTTCATTGACTTCAATGTCCACTTATATATATATATGTGTGTGTGTGTGTGTGTGTGTCACACAGCAGTGCATGCATTTCCATCCCAGCAAGTACAGTCTGGGATCTCTCCGATATCACTTTGTATAAATGCTTCTTTAATTTATCCATTTAAAGATCTAAAACCACCTGAGAGAATAAAACTGTTAGTAGTTATTTACTAAGTTTAGAATGGTACAAGGCCACAAAAGTGGAATGCCAAGTAAGAACTAAGCACACTACACTAACAAATAAGTCTATAAGACAATTTTAAATTATGCTTCATCAGTGGTGTAATAAGTCACTTTTAATTTAAGAAAAGTATTTAATATCTTCCGCACCAACAAAATTTTTCAGGATTTGTCAAATTTACTTTTATTTTTTTTTAATTTTATGAATTTTTTTTTTCTTTTTACCTTTCTTTGTTTTTTATTTTGTTTCTGGAGCTGTTACTTCTTTTTTCTTCTAATATTTTATTTGACAAATTTGATTTTTTTTTTCTTGCTTTCTTCCTTTTTTTTTTTTTTTTCTTCTGCCAGTCTTTCATTGCTAATTGTCTCTTCAAAGCATTTTGTTTCAGTTTTTTCATTTCATATCTATTTTTAAAAATATTTGGCTTCAACTTATCAATTTTAAGTTGTTTCTCTGAAATGAATTCCAAATTTCAAACAACTAAATTGATCATTTTTATTTTTATATATTTTCTTTAAATTTTGAAAAAAAAAATTCAACTATTATTCCTTTGTCTATTTTTTTTATCTTTATACTTCCTTCTCTTCATCTTTCTTTTCTCTAAACCTTTTTTTTCCATCTTTGCAGCATTTCTTTCTTCTCATTTCCTTCCTTTGAATAGCTATTCATCTTATCTTCTTCCTTCTTCCTCACCAACCACCACCATTCTTTTCTTTCTCTCTCTTTTGAGTTCTCCCAACAGCTGTACTTACAAATGTCAACCCAGGATGGCTATCATGGCTGTAGAAAACAACAACTACAGTCAAATTCAGAAATAAACAGTTAGAGTTGTGGATAGATGTGTTTAATGGCATTGACATGTGTTGGGGAGCATGAGAGACCCCAGAGAATGGCAAGTAAAGGAAGAAATGGGTTACCCCAGAATGGTTTAGCACACAAAGGAGTGCCAAAAGGCTTTGAGGGGTGGAGGAACCAGATATAATACAATGTCTTTGAAGAAAATCAGGCTTCTTTTTCTCCCACTCAATAGTCCAGGAAAGACTAGTGGAAAAAAATGAGTGAAGGAGAAAATGAAAAGAACACAGAGAGAGGAAGAAGTAGAATGGAAGAAGAAAAACAGAAATTAACGAATCTCTCTACTAACTCAAGTAAAGAAAGAAAGAAAGAAAATAGTGAAGGAGAAAGGGAAAAAGAGATAGGGAGAGGAAGAAGTAAGATGGAAGAAGAAAAACAGAAATTAATGAATCTTTCTCTTGATCCAAGTACAGGGAAGAGAAGAAAGAAAGAGTAAAAGATATAAAAAATAGTAAAGGAGAAAGTGAAAAGAAGAAAGTAATAAAAAAATAGTGAAGAAGAAAGAGAAAAAAAGATGGGGAGGGAAAGAAATAAAATGGAAGAAGAAAAACAGAAATTAATGAATCTCTCTCTTGATCCAAGTAAAGGAAAGAGAAGAAGAAAGCGTAAAAGAGAAGAAAAAAAATGGTGGAGAAAGTGAAGAGAGAAAAGAAGAAGTAGGCTGGAAGAAGAAAAAACAGAAATTAATGAATCTCTCTTCTGACGCCCAACTTGGAGTCAATGACTGCCTTGACTAAGAAGTCTACCAATATCAAAACCTAATTCAACTACATGTATCAAGATGTCTAGTTACATCTGTGACGAAAGACATGACTTACCTCAGAATTCGAAACGAGCACAAACATGTCTTGCCTGCAAAGTAATGACAAAAAGAAATATGGCCGCTATTGAAGACCCAATTTATGTGTGCCTATCTCGTCCAAAACAAGACGATATTTGCACACATGCAAATTTTGGCTGTCTTGAATAGCATAAAAAGCTGGGTGCCAGCAGCACCAGGTGTCAGGGAGTCATTCGGCGGACTGAGTGTAATAGAGCTGGACATACAAATTGACAGATGGACAAAGAGGAAATCAAAGTAGGCGCGACTGAGTTGGTATCTGTTTCATGACTGCCCAGTGTAACAGCTGAGAAAGGGAGTCATGCAATCCATTTCCTTGAAGCGACCAAGGAAGAAAAAAAAACCCTCATAATCATTTTTTTTTTTTCTCCTACAACATCAAAACTCAATTCATTTCTCCATGTATCAAGATACCTCTTCACATCAAATGGATATAAGATGTGGTGTAATTGATAATGACTTGGAATGAGAAATCAGGGAGCTGAGTTTGAATTCCAATCAGGTTCTTTACATTCACTTATGCGCACATATCCTTGGGAAAGGGTACCCCCCCTCCATTACCAGTTGAATAACAAGACAGAATGGGTCCCATAGTTTTGGTTAGCAACCAGTCTACCATAGAAAGAAACAGCAGCCTACTGCAGTAAATATTCTGCCTAGTCAGTCATGAATTGAAAAAGACATAATCATCCAAGCATATATCACATGCCACTTGACTTGATTTGACTCACATCAAAACCTAACTCCACAAATATATAAGAAACTAATTATACACATATCTAGAACTCTATACACATCAAAACGTAATTCTACACATGTCAAGAACTCTATACACCCCAAAACATATTTTAATTTCAGAATAAGAATTTATATATGCTCTCGGTTTTAAAATGCAATCTATAAAATTACATACCATAAATCACTGGTTCTGTAGGCAAAATAAAATTTTCTCTTCAATTGTATATTTGTATACAATGCAAGAAATTTTATGAGAATCAAAAACTCAAATGGAGGGTTCAAATTATATATGATTGTAATATTTTGCCGATTTGTATTTGTATCAATGAAATAGAAGCTATATGTACAGTGGTCCCACTTCAAAATAGCATCGATCATAAAAGTATAATTTTTACTAATATTTTTGCTTGGTTCAAGTCATATGCAATATTAATTTATTTTCTTACTAGCTAGTCTGCATGGAGTACGTCTTTTAAGCTAGTACTCCATTGAACCTCAAAACCTCACTTTAACTCTTATTTGGGCTATAAGCCCAATTCCAACTAAAAGTCTGATTTATACTGAAACTCAGATTCAAGTTGAAAACTGAGTTCTCCAAGTCACAACTTCTGTGAAACTTCTAAACCTCACATCATGAAACTTCTTACTTTAACTCTGAATCCTTGGCATTTTGAAGAAATAAAATTGATTTCCTCAATTCACAAAGTTTTGGAGATATTTGAAACTGAATTTTAAAAAAATGTTTAAATACACAAAGTTTTTGTGTTAAACTTAATATAAATTAAAAACTATTAAATTCACTAATTTTTTTTCAGTTATTTTAAAATTTCAATTTTTAACTGTTCGCTCTTCATCAGGACACAAATCCCAATACTGGATGTTCAAGCATCAGATGAAGGGCAGATTTTCAATCTCACGATGATCTTGATTCCAAAAAGATATAATATATGTCCGTGTAGAGCAAGTGTGGCCCAAGTTAGAGTGGTTTCAGACACACAGACAGATGTACAGAATTTGCCATTTATTTATTTAGATGGAGAGGTGTTGCGTTAAGTGCCTTGATAAGGAAGAATATTATATTGAAGAATGTATTATGTAAATGCTTTCTTAATCATTTGCTTATGGCCATATTACATTGAAACATTGGTTCTCGTATGATCACCAAAATTAAGCAACCTTGAGCCGGGTCAGTACCTAGATGGGTGACCACGTAAGAATACCAGGTTATGTACACTTAGATGTGCAGTTGGTGTAATGGATAAAGGCTTAGAATTGGAAAATCAGAAGGCCAAGTTCCAATTCCAGTTGGGTTCATTATAGTCACTTATATACAAATACTCTTGGGAAAAGTATGAATTCACCTCTTCTTCCCCCAGCTATGGGTTAATTAGTAGGACTTGTATCAGGAAATCATTATTATCTTCAAAAATTCTAAAATATTTTCTGGCCTTAAATAATCTGCATAAGGTTGATAAACTGTAAAAAAACAAATCACTCAATCAATCTTTATCATTTGGCAATAAACTTATTGATGAACTTTTGTATAAATGAAATATATTATAGTTTTTGGTCTGGCCCAATTCACAAAATCAGTATTCTGAAATTATATATATATATATATATATATATATATATATATATATATATATATATAAAAAATGTAAGAGTATATCTGTAAAAGGACACAATGAATAAAGACAAAAGGAAAACTTATCTTAGCTGACGTGTTTTGTCCTCTGAAGTTCTTCATCAAGGCAAATCTAGGGATTTTATTTTGTAACAAGTATTTATATACAAGAGCAAAAATGTTATTGGTTTTTTAAATTGTTTTGGTATAGGAGTGTTCATGAATATTCATCAGGTTAGCGGAAAGGTCAGGCAATGTCTAATTAAATTAAAATGTTAATGTCTTCAGATGCAACACATTGACATCAACTGGAAAATGTTTGCTGATCAGGTGTTTCACTCACAAATTTAAGTGAGAGGAAATGCTCAAATAAATCATCAGATGACCCAGGCTTTTAATATAGCTTTGTGGATATTTAAATTGACTATTTCTTTTTTTCTATTTTTTTCAAAATACTAATAGTAGTAGTATTAATATAATATATTGAAAATAAGAAGAAAAGATTTTCACTGGTTAAAAAGAATGCAAGTATCAGTGAAAGAGCAGGGGTATTGTATGTAAATTGTAAATGTAATTGTAAATGCAATACTAACAATTTTATTATAGAGATGCATTATAAATGATGCATTATAAATGATTTTACTACAGAAATGCATTGCTTATGATTTCACTATAGAAATGCATTAGAAATAAGGAAGAAAGGGATTTTCTGTGGCCAGAACTAAACCTTAACAACATAAAAGGGTTGTAGTTAGCAAACTAATTTTGAAAACTAATACTGGAATGAATTCAATCCTCATTGGGTACTCCACTTTTCCAGCCTTATGTAAGATTAAACTAAGCTTATAAAATATATTTTATGGCATTGACATTTAAAAGAATTAAAAAAATTACTGACAGAATTGGGCTTATATATATATATATATATATATATATATATATATATATATATATGAATAATGTGTGTGTATGTAAAGTGATGTTAGGAAGGCAAGTACTGATTTATACAGAGGGTGGGACAGACATTTAAAGAGAGAGAGAGATACAAATCTCTCACTCTCTTATAAAATATAATTAAGGGTGTGCATATAAAAAAAAATGTTGGCAGAAGAATGAAGAAAAATATTATATCAGATTCTTAAAGTATATTTACTTAACAAAACCCCAGAACTAAGCTTATTAATAGAGAATGCAATGAGTTTTATTATACGGTTCAGTGATGCGAATGTTTGTGCTGTATAGGTTTACACTGGCAAGGAGGAACATTTTGTACAGGGAAAGTTATCCATAAATTGATTCTTTCGTAAATTATGAGTACAATCCAAAGAGAGATAAACAGCTGTTAATAAATACATACATGCAGGTGTGCATTATTTTTTTATACCAAGAAAAGGTTTTCATTAGCAAAACACATGTAACATACCAATTTCAACCCAAACATTTATTAAGTGACAAAAATAAGAGATAACATTAAAACTACTAAAAATTATAAGTGGTTATAAACAAAGACAAAACTAGTTTTTTTGTTTTGTTTTTTTTTACTGCTGTTCACTCAATACAAGTTCTAAGAGCCACTCAAGGTAGAGAGTTACTGAATGAGGTTAAACAGATAACAGTTGACTTGATACTTAAAGAGTTTAAGATTGCAGTGATTGAAGAAGCATCTTCTTGGGAGTCTGTTCCATAAAGCAGCAGCACTTAGGAAGAAGCTGTTCAAATAGAACTTCCTCCTTACCAATTGAATACAAAGGGAAGGAGGAGGATGAGTCAACCCCATATATGTGGCATGGTGGGTCTTAACTGTAAATATGGATTAGAACTGAATTGAATAAAAAGCTTAATTTTAAACATTTCTTTAAAATTTTGAGGGAAGTTATTATCATGATTTAGTGAACACAAATATTAGTTAAAAGTCCAATCCTTTGACTGTGTGATCCATAACCATTGGCAAACTAGTTTAATGTATTATTACTTCCAAGTAGCAAATTTAATCCTCACTGCTACCCCTATACTTGAGTCATTGTGCTGAACCAAGCTATGCTGAGTAAATAACTATTGTACAATTCATTGTTATATTGGCTTGTTGGTTTTCTTTTATGTAGTGTACCCCTTCAGGACATGAGTAATCATGGCCTTCCACAACTTCCTATTAAGTCAAAATTGTGGCTAGATTTGTTACTTGATTTGTTAATAAATACCAGTTTGATCAGGAAAGAAAATTATTCACTAAGAAAATGTATTGAGAGTGCACTGATCTCAGTTCCCAATGATAAACCTAAAACCAGGCTTATACATAATACATAATATCACCAATCATTGCAAAAGCAATAGTATCATAAGACATTATATGAGCTAGTGGTGAAAGTAACAGGGGACTTGTTTGAAGTGGGCTAGTTTTGAATCAAGCAGAGATTTGTAGCATTAATACAAAAAAACAAAAAAAAAAAAAACAGAAAAGGGGCAACCTAGCAAACAAATATAAATGGCTTTAATATAAAAAAAAATCATACACAGACTTGTTTTTCTGAAGAAACCTAACTAATGAAGCTGAAGCACATTAACAAAAAAGGTTTTCCACTTTGATTTCTTCATTTTTGATTAGATTCTATATCCTACTAACACATATATACATATACGTATGGAAGTGGTCTGAAAGTCTTGTCACTCCATACCAAAAAGTAATGAAAATAGAACAAGTAATACAAAGCACATGTACTGGATTCTGTTTATTCACTTCCACTGACGCTGTCACACATCGAGAAGATCTGTATGAACCCCCATCATTTTTGTGGCATAAAATGATGCAGCATCATGTCCTCTGTGATATTTTATGAAGCTGTGCTTTGTTGATTGTTGCAAAGGCTCTCTGAACAGCGTCGTTCAACTGATGGATATTCTGGTATTGTTCATGTGAAACTATCTCCTTGCTAAATACCCCACAGAGTGTTGTTATATTAATAGGAGTGACAAGACTTTAGAATCACCCTGTACATACATACATATAACAATGAAAATTAAAGAGATAAATAAATATTTTACTTATTATTATTATTATTGTTTTTCCTTTGATTTGTGTTGTACTAGTTACTCTCAAGTCTCTCCCGAGACCTCAGGAGACAAGATTTTTTTTTTTTTTATCAGCAGGTGCAAACAGATGGGGTGCCATGCAATTAGAAAAAAATGTAATTGTGGTTACTGCATAAAGGGAAATCTATACAAGATATGAGAAGTAGACATCGGTATGATTTTTTGCAATTCTCATTTTCAGGCAGCTAGGAATTTGATCAAAATATTTGTTTGCTCCTTTAGATGTCATTCTCAGGGCCCCAATAACAGGAGGTAATGGTGTTGCCTTGAGATGCCACATTCTGATTTCCAACTTGAGGTCTTTGTATTTACTTAATTTTTCAAACATTTTCAAAGATCTGTTTTTATCAGCTAGGGCTGCAACATATATCAGAAGACATATCTTTTAAATATGATTTTTTACAATTATGTCTGGTCAGTGTGTCTATTATTATTATTATTATTATCATCATCATCATTCATATATATATATATGTACAAGAAAAAACATGTCCTCAATATTGAATTTCATTATTCTATTGGGTTGGCACGTTCCAATTAAGATGTATAGAAGGAAGAAAAAGAAAATACAAAAAATAAAAATCTAAAAACCACATACAACCAACACTAAAAGAATTTACTGGCTGTCTGGATGTGTTAAAAAAACAAAAATAATTTGGACAATAGTCTCAAAAGTCTATGGAATACACACAAAGCATAAAAGAAAGGAGAGAATTGAAACCAAGAAAATTGGAATACAAACATAAAATAAAAAGAGCACATTGAGTTGAAATGTATTCACATATAGAAAATATCAAGCTACAACAGGAACAAATATGGAGGGGTAAGAGAGAGAGAGAGAAAAAGAAGAGAGAGAAAGAGGGGAAAGTGAGAGAAAAGGAAAAGAGAAAAGAAGAGTAGAGAGAGAAAAGAAGAGAGGAGAAAGATAAGAGAAAAAGATAAGAGAGAGAAGAGAAAAAGAGAAAAGAGAAGAGAGAAAAGAAGAGAAAGAAGAGAGAAAAGACAAAGAGAAAAGAAAAAAAATAAAGAAAATGTGAGAATGTGTAGGTGTAAAGTTTAATAACAAATAAAAAAATATATCAAATACCAAATTTTCAATTCCTAATTTATTTATTAGTAAAAAAAATATATCCCACTCATTTGTTAACATTATACAGCTTTTAAAATATACACTTTCTTTATTCATATTTTCCTTTTACAGATTTAATCTATCTGAAATTTTTACTTAAAATAAAAAAAAAAAATTTAAAATATATTAAAAACAGAGAATAAAAATGAAATAACAGAAGACTGTTCCAGCTTTAATTTAGTGATAGAATTTGTGGGGTAGAGAAAAGTTGTATAAACAGAATTCTGACTAATGAATCTAAGTTCAGGGTACTGTTTCTCTTCTCATTTGTTACAAACCAGATTTCATGGGCACTCAGGTCCTTTTGTGACTTTTTTTTACTGGAGAGTGTCAAATATTCACCACTCTTTCTTTCTTTCTTTCTGTTTTCCCCAAACAGCCT